ATAAGTCGTTGAAACAAAAAATTTTGACAACAAGGCATGTAGACTGTAGAACACTTCATTTATTTTCGAAAGAAATTTTCGGCCAGTCCTCTGGCCTTCACCAGCTTTACTGAATGTACAAGTTGGCTGTTACAAGTTCTATACTGTACAATATAAACAATACAATAGAGGTGTAGACGGATTATGGGCCAATTATCTAATAGTTTATGCGGTAATATATAAAGAGAAATCCGACAGAGAACAAAGTGGTCAAGTATAGAGATAGTGGTGTTATAGATTAAACAATTCTTAATTACGCGTACATAGTAGAACAATATGGTGGGAAGCGGACTTAACTACACAATAAGTAAATGATTATGAAGTCTTAAAGAGTAAAAGATGGAATATATGAATAAAACAAAAATAAACCTATAGGCTTATAAATAGGCTATATAATGTACAGATAAAGATAATATATACATATAAATAATAAACATGTACAAATAAAAATAAATTGGTGTTAATAAAGAAAGCACATATCAGCTATCGAAATAGAACAGAATAAAGTGATGGTGAGAATCAATGGGAAGTTGTAATCACTGAGGAAGTCTATATCTCTATTAAGGCCTATGGTGTGGGCTTTGTGTTTAAGTATAAGTTTGAGTTCGGAAACATTATAATGACATTTTCCTGATGATGACATAATTAATGTCGAAATATTGAATCCCAACACGATGGCGTGTATTTCAATACTTGGAGTATGTATTACCGGTATACTTCCTAACACAGTATGGTTGAAGATGTTTATTACTTTTAAAACTACATTTTTTCAAATACAGTATTATTATCATCTTAAGTTAAACTGTACAAATTTACCAATTAGCAGACAAATATGTTGGCTTATTTTCATTTCGTTTATATTTTTTATTCAAAATCACAATTTACAACAGCATTTTTTATATTCACATTTCACTGCTATGATAAATATTATACATGTCCAGTTAAAAGGACCACTATCACCGTAATGTCGTTACCGTTTTATTAAAACGTGGGCTATATGTATTTTCTATATAAATAGTAAACTCTAAAATAGATTAAATCCCCCGATGGAACATTTAAGAGATGTTTAGCGACGCCCGAATTTGATCGTCGAGGAAATCGGACCTCCGTCGGGCAAAATCGGACAAATCCGTCGGGCAAATCCTGGCACCACCCCTGTACTCTCCATCAAAATTACCATAAGAAAGTAATCACCCTTACAGTACTTAGGATTCGTTTTATGTCTGTTACTCAAATATAAAGACTATAGCATTATACTGAGAAACCACGTGCTTTATTTCACAATTTACAGTGCTGTATCATGTCGTGTTGTTTGGTTTTGTTTTTTTTTTCTTCTGCCGGCCCAAGACAATACCACCAGTACTTAATGATTATTTCAAGAAGTTAATTAAGACTTATTAGTGGCTTTT